CCGGGAGGGAACTGAGGACCTGTGCTTTCGAGGCAGGCCTGGAGCCACTGAGCGAAATTCCCAGCCCACTACCTCAATTTTCCTTGTGAAACATTGTGATTTAAAGGATTGTTGACATCAAGTGTGCTTGGAGAATTTGTCAGACATTTTCTTTTTTCATTTTTTGTACCGGGGATCAAATTTAGGTCCTTGCGCTTGTGAGACAGGTATGGTGCCACTGAGTTAAATCCCAGGTCCAATTTTCTTAAAAATGAATTAAGTGAGGGGCCAGCAATTTAGCTCAGTGGTACCACCCGCCACCTGCTTTGCAAGCCTAAGGACCAGCATTCAATCCCTAGGAAACACCCCCTCCCCCATGAATTAAGTGAATCTGTCCTTTAAGGGAAACTTTTTGTTGTTGTTAATGAAAAATTTGAGCTTTTAAGACTAAAGAAAATCAATCAGAAGGTGAGGGCAGGCATGACACAGGCCTGTAATCCTAGCACTCTGGGAGGCTGAGGCAGGAGGATTGCAAATTCAAACTCAGCCTGGGTAATTTAAAGACTTAGTGAGATCCTGACTCAAATAAAAAAATAAAAAAGGGCTGAAGATATAGCTCAGTGTAAAGGCCCAGGATTCAACCCCCAGGGCCCCCCATCAGAGATAGTAACTCGTGAGAGTTCTTGGTATTTTATTGGTGTTTTATAATGAAATGAGAAATTAACTCAGCCAGTACTTTCCAGGGGACCAGTGATTGACGCAAATCCTCTGTGGTTGAGTGTGGTAGTGTATTCCTACAATCCCAGCCACTCAGGAGGCTGAGGTAGGAATGTCACTTGAATTTGAGGCCGGCTGGGCACATGATAAGACTGTTCTTAAGAAACAAACAAACAAACAAACAAAAAGGGGCTTAGTGATAGAGAACTTAAAGCATGCACATAGCCCTGAGTTCAGTCTTCAACACCATACAAAAAACAACAACAGTTCTCTGGAGAAAAGTAAGGTAGTCCAATGGATTTTGGTGCAGCCAAATAGTCACTGATACGATTTTCGGGGGGCAGTTACTGGAGAGTGAACTCACAACCTTGCACTTGTGAGTTTGAACTAAATCCCCGGCCCTGTCACTGATAAGATTTTAGATTCCAAATCACAATTTTTAAAGAACTTGCTCATCACACTTTAGTAACCAAGAAATTGGGCTAGGGGCATAGCTGTCGTAGACTGCTTGCCTAGTGTATGAATTGCTGAGTTCAAGTCAGGAAAAAAAAAGAAAAAAGACATAACCATGATTAATCCAAAAATTGAAGCTAGGGTTCTATGCCTATAGTTGCAGCACTATGGAAAGCCGAGTAAGGCAGGAGAATTGTAAATTCAAGCCCAGCCAGGGCAATTTAGTTTGAGACTCTCCCAAAAATAAGACTGGAGGGCCGGGGTTTAGCTCAGTGGTTCTGCCACAAGCACAGGACCTGAGTTCAGTCCCTGGTAACAAAACAAAACAAAACAAAAAGACTGGAGCTGGGGATTTAGCTCAGTGGTTCCACTGCCTGCCTTGCAAGTGCAAGGTCCTAAGTTCGATCCCCGGTACCAAAAGGAAAAAAGAAATCAAAAGACTGGGGATGTACCTCATTGAGATCCCGGGATCAATCCCTAGTATTGCAAAAACAAAATAAAGAAACTCTGCAGCTGGGTGTGGTTGTATATCCCTCTAATCCCAGGACTCTAGGATCGTGAGGCGGGAGGATCACAAGGTTGAGTCCCAGTTGGACAGTTTATCAACATTGTCTAAAAATCAGGACTGGGAGTATAGCTCAGTGGTAGAACAGTCATGTTGACATGAAGTAAATTTATTGCTGATATATATTTATTTTGAAACAAGGTCTTGAAATATAGCTCAGGCTGGCCTGCCTCAACCTCCCAAGTGCTGGGGTCACAGGTGTGCACCACCACACCTAGCTTTTTTTTTTTTTGGTTCTGGGGATTGAACTCAGTATCTTGTACTTGCGAGGCAGGCAACAGAACCACTGAGCTAAATCCCCAGTCCTAATTGTGGATATTTTAAATCAATAAATTTTTTTAAACATCCCTTTTTTTTTGTTTTTTTGAGACAGGGACTCACTATGTAGTTGAGACTGACCTGGAACTCACTATGTAGCCCAGGCTGGTCTTGAACGCACAGCGATCCTCCTGCCTCAGCCTCCCGAGTGCTGGGATCACAGGTGTGTGCCACCACGTCCCGCTAAATCAGTAATTTTTAAATCATTTTTTTTTTAAGTATAGTAAGTAGAACACTGACATACATGGCCACAATAATATCGAATACGGTAATATGGAAGCCACATAAGCAAAAGCTCATCTTTTTCTGGCTTACTTTTGTTTGTTTTTGAGGCAGTTCAGGCTGGCCTTGAACCTACAGTGTACCCCAGGGTCCTCTTGTGTCCTTAAGTGCTGGGTTACAGGCATGTGCCACCACGCCTGCCTAAGTCCCCACTAATTATTTAAGGATGTTAACAGCATGATTTTGGGTCAGTGGGCAGGGAGGGCGCTCTGCTTCCTTATCCGTCTTTTGTGTGTTGCTGCATCGTGTTTCTTCTCAGCCTTAGCTCTTCCTGACTGGCATTTAGGTGCTGCTGAACACGCAAGTGTTGCTGCTGTGTGGCTGGTTAGGACCAGGGCCCTCCACTCTTGGTGTCAGTCGGTGGGAGTCTGGGTGGGCAGAAGGGAGATGCATGGACAGAAGGACACAAGCACCTTGCAGCTAGTGCTGATACTGGGGAGAACGGCTGAAAGGGCAGATAGGCTTTGACGAGGACGGACTGGAAGGGAAAGGTCCTCTCACTGGAGGACACAACCTACCGAGCTTGGCCCTCCTAGGGAAGAGCTCTGTGTGCCAGGTCAGAGTGTGGATTTTATTCTGGGCCTCAGGAATCCTCTGAAAGATACCTCCAGGTTCATGGGGCTGTACAGGGGAGTCGTGTTCTAGACTTTGGTTCAGAGAGAGAGACCCAAGTCCTTACAGTGCTAGGTAAGTGCTGTACCCAGAGTTATGTGTTTTAGACTTTGCTCTTTTACTTAAAGTGGCCTGTTCTTTTCATCTTTGGAAGGACACCTAGGATTTTCCTGTCCTAGGCAACTCCTGTTGGGTTGGGTTAGGCATGCCTGCTGTCTTGGTATGGAGGCCCTGCCTTCTTTTGCTTTGCATTTATGAGGACAGGGTGATGTATTCTGGGTTATTTCCTGTGGGAGCTGAGACCTCCAAAGCCTTCTTCTGTGTTTTGTTGCTGCAGTTGCCTGACACCGTGGCCCTGAGGAATTTACTGGG